TACTAATCTAATCAGGCCCAATCACCCAATCTATAGTCTTTCGGATAGATCATTCGAATAAAATACACCATATATCGGCACGCAACAAGCTCCTAAATTGACGACCATTAATCACTATATCTCTATACTCAACAACCCTATCTCGGCGTCAACATCGATCGGTTTACTGAGCACCTCATTACTTAATAATCAACATAATCAATAACCCATTGACCACCTAGGGTTCTGATATACAAAACCATCTCGCAAGACCTATGAACCAATGAATTGTTATCTACTAAGGTTTTTTCTATTTTAACCCTGTCAATAATCTACCAATTACTAATGATCAAACTGCCATTTACACATCCATCCGGCCATCATTTCTTTACAAACTATCATCAGTCATGTCATCATCCACACAATGAAGACATCTATTGAAGCAATAACACTACCCAACTGGCAAACCTCGTCTAACTAGTCCAACCACCTTTCTGGGGTTAAGAGATTTTTCACTATGTACCGACCCCACTGCAACTCCCTACCCCGTTAACACTCGGTCAAATCAAGTATTATTATTATGCAATTTGCGGAAAAAAAAAAAAAAAAACATTACACAATAAGCAAATTTACTAATTTAATTAATATATTTAAAAAAAAAGGAGAGAATAGGGGGAGAAAACGTTACTCACGCAGCCACATCGGCCTATGATCACCCATCAAGAAAGGGGGAAGAAGTGAACAAAACCTCCTATCACATCCAGTGGGTTACTAAAATTGGAATATCTCTTTAAACCCCAACTTGCCTTAAAAACATAACCATGCCATCATCTTTTTGAATTTAATCACCAAACCTATCTATTCGCAGGATAAACCAACTACATAATCTCGCCTCAAAACGTAGAAAGAGAGAAGCATAGACAATCTTGAACAATGATGGATTCTTGGAGATTACGTCTTCCACATTCCATTTCCACAAGATTACTTGTATCCGGTAAAGAACTGATATCCTTCCAACCTACTAAGTACCACCTCTCTATTCACATTCTCAGTTAAAAATAAAAAATAATAAAATAAATAAAATAAAATAAAAAATATTCTTTTGAAATAAAAGTAAGACCACCATCATGTTGTATCTCAATCAATTAAATAAGTACCAATCCAACGAAATTCTCACAACTTTTATTGGTTGTTCTATTTGCAGGGTATGAATCAATTCCTCGGGAACTTTTTTCACCACACCATCTCCTTCCCCTTCAAAATGTTGTCCGTATTCCCCCTCAACCTTTTTTCCTTTTTATTCTTCCTCATCTTCACAATGATCTCTTGTGCATTTTTTCTTATTTTATTTTCTTCGCCCCTCCTATCCTTTTTCGCGCATTCCTTCTATATACAATACAAAAAAAATCAGAAAATAACTAACATCTCGACAAAAAAAATAAAAAAAATAATATTGTGGTTGGAGAAAAAAAAAAAAAAAAAAAACAAAAAAAAAAAAAAAAAAAAAAAGTGGTAGGGGAGCAAACAAGAGACTTCAGCGATAGTAATCAAAGACAACTACAAAGCGAGGGTAAAGATTGACAGAGAAGGAAAGGGAAGGAAGGGGGAGGAGCGGACGATAAAGAGAAAGTAGAAAGGAATGCGATATGATCTCGTTCAAATAAAACACCTAGTTCAAATCTAGCCAATCACATTACCCAAGGGAAATTCGCTTCTCAATTATGACATATATTCAGTCACCCTAATGAGTTGGTCTCCATTTCAGACTTATGACAAACATCATTAAAGTAACCCATTCAAAGTCAATCAACAACGATCATAAGATGACTGCGCAACAATGTTTTTCCTTCAAAAAAAAAAAAAAAAAAACCTAATTTATTTATATATATGTATATATATATACATAAATAAGAATAAAATATACATACATTTATACATATATAATAAGAAGGACTAACAACAAGGAAGAACTAAGTCAATTATACTCGGTCTAGTTTCATTTCAATGTCTGTGAAGATGGATCCATGGCTCAACACTTTTCTCGCTGCATCTGGCTCCCAATCAGTAATAGGAGCATAAATATTTGTTGTCCTTCCCATACTTCCGCCAGTTTACACATCTGCAAAGATTCTCCATTGTCTCAACCCTCTCTCTCAAAATATGAACGAATTACTTTTCAATGTCCAAACTCACAATCCAGAGGAAGTCCACAGAGTACATGTTCATTCTATAAAGTTAAAGAATCCACTACCCCCACCACCATCTCAGCCTCCACCCCCAAACACACATCCCTCTCCAACTTTCACAGCACCACCCTCTCAACCCCCTCCAATTTCAGATACCCCATCATCCTCCCCATCTTTGATTCACCAAGCTACTCTCGAGGCCTTCGAACAACTCAAGCAGCAAATGGCCACCCAACTTGAAGAAAGTCGGCTCTCCATCGAGCAGCTAAAGAACCAGCTTTAAGTTATCGAGAAGTAAGACGAGAGTTCCAACCTGAACCAGCTCTACCACAGCCTGCAGTCAGAAATGAATGAAATTCAGCAGAAGCTCAATGGTAAATCTCAGCCCGCTTACGAGGAACTGGCAGCATGAAAGACAACCTTCTCTGCCCCATGCTACTACTCCCAGGTTGATGCCTACATTCATTTCCTCGAGATCAACATGAACTACTCTTACTTCCCCATTGGCAAGGGTGGCATCAGTGGCTAAGGGCTGCATCGAACCTCTCATTACCAAGTCTGTCAAGCAACTACTAGACAAGGCCATCAGGAAGGGCATGGAAAAGACCGTACCAATCCAAGTCCGAATATAACTACTGCATGAGCCTCGTCAGACGAGATGCTCACAGGTAAGCAAGGGTCGTCGCCCGATTATGATATATCTATCGCCCCCGGACTGCCAATAAGTCCACGCCGTCTGTGTTGAGGGGCTTATCTTTATATATCCTGTTTCTCTTGCAGATTGGGCATCCAGGAGTCAGAGTACTCTTCATATCAGAAGAAGGACGAGCACTACAAAACCGAAGATGGCAAAAGATCATCATCCATGCACCACTACGAAGACGACAAGGGAAGAGGTTATGACTGTTACAGAACGGCCAAGAGATCTCACTCTGACTACGACCTCAAGCACGCGGACCAATCACGCCCTGCAACTGCTGACTCCACCAAAACATCTCAATAGCCACCCACCATTTTCTATACCACCCATACACACCATCCTCTCCAATCTACAAACTCCTCCCTCAGTTTCGGATCCCCGCCTCGCTACCTTCGCTCTTCAAGAACACTCATCTTTGTTGACAAACCCTGATGAATTCTTCGCCGCCTCACCATCCAACTATTTTTTGAATTTGTCTCTTCCACTCTCATCATCTTCAAGAAGATATTCTCACTCAGCACTTCAATGGATGCGCCACGGTGTTAGACTTCAGTTCAATGACACCTCTCACGTTCCAACATAAAATCATAGAAGTCAGAAGAATAGTAAAATCAGTCCTCCCCCCTTTTCGTTTTAAACAAACTCTCGACTTGAACTCCTCCCCCCCCCTCTTATTATACCTAACCATATCAACCCCCTCACCATACCAATTTCATCTCTTCCACAATATCTCAACTTTTTTCCTCATGAGTCATTGAACCCTCATCCCACCCCACAATAATCAACCCCGTCTTCGCGAAAAGCTCGTTTAAAACCCGTTTTATACTCGATGTCCGTTTTGTCAACCTGTTCTCCACTTTTCCTCCCTTTCATTATGAATCAATAGATGACGCTATTGCTCACCTGTCTGGCTCACCAACTAAGGACTTCTCACTTGTTTTGACATTAAGAATGATTATCACCACATTCCAGTTCATCCCATCTCAAGGCCTTATCTGACTTTTCATTGGAATGGAATAAACTATCAATTCACAACACTTTGTTTTGAAATTTCCTCTGCTTGTTGGATCTTCACAACAGTTATGCAGGAAATCATGGCTGAACTGCGTATTCGTAACGTTTTTGCCACATCTTACATTGATGATTATCCGCTCGCCAACTAGGAACTACCCCTACTTCTATGACAATCTTTTAATTACGTAGCTCTGCTTCACAACCTTGTTTTTTTTCTTAGTACCCATAAATGCTCTTTCCTCCCATCTCAGTCAATTCGTTTCCTCGGATTCACCCTAGACCCCCAGTCCAAAAGAATAAGAGTTCCCGAAGAGAAAATACAAAAGATCCTCAGCCTTATCCAATCCTCTTTCAAACCCTCTAGTAGAACAGTCACCAAACTGGCAGGAAAACTCGCCTCTCTGTCCAATGCTTTCTTACCTACTCACCTCTATCTCTCATCACTCTATGAAGCCATCTCACCTTCCAATTGGGATTCCTCTATCAAGATCTCAAATAACCTTATCTTTGACCTCATGTGGTGGATCTTTCACTTACCTCAACTCCCGGGAAGGCTTTGGACCGTCCGACTTGTCTCCTTATCCATTTTTACCGATGCTTCAGCAACCCAAATTGCAGCATTGATTTACCTTCTCCACAATGAAGAGTTCACATTCAACCAATGCTTACCCCAATCATTGCTCAACTCATCCTCCACTCACACATAACTTTTCGCCATCCTTGAAACCTTCCGATTTCTCGCTTCTACTCAACCACACCTTCTTTTATCAGCCTCAATCAGACTACACTCTGACAGTCAGGCTGCCACAACTCTACTCCTCACAATGAAATCAACCGACGAAGTCTTCAATCCATGGTTACGAGACATCGCCTCCATCCTACTCTTTTCTGATTCCCTCCTCAGTCCTGTTTGGATACCTAGAACAATGAATTCAATGACCGACTCTATATCCAAAATCAAGGATAATACAAACTGGGGCTTGGCAGACCACGTAAGGGTTGACATCTTTTCTCAGATAGGTGTACCAGCAATCGACATTTTTGCATCTGACTATCACCATGTCTGCCCAACCTTTGTCTCCAGAAACTGGTCAACAAATGTCTTCCAAGTAGACGCTCTCTCTTTGAATTAAAATTTACTTCCATCATTTCCCTACCGCTGGATTTTTCCACCCACAACACTCCTCCACCACACCCTCTCCAAAGCGCTCGCCAGCTCAGCCTCCTACCTACTTATATTACCTTCTTCCAAACGCACCATCTGGTACCCCCGCACTCTCTCACTCAACATCACGCACCGCTTCACCATCCCAGAATCTTCATTCTCCTGCCTCCGCAGCCCCAGAGTCGACGTCACCCCCCCCAACCCCGCAATCCTCGACCTCACAACAATTTTCTTCACCACCTAAACCTCCCTCACTCCTCTTGTTCCATCCACGCCGCATCCCGTATCCATACCTCATAAACGTTCCAATACTACTCCATGTTCCCTGTCGCATAATTTCTCCCAGACTCCAACCCTCCTCTATCCCTGCCTGAACTCCCCCAATCCGGAAGTTGTGACCACTCTCCCCTTCATAAACTCCCGCCTCCTCAAACCATTTCTCGATGCGCTTGTTAAAACCGCCACCACTTACTGGACCATCACCACGCATTGACCGAAACAAGTAACCTCTTCTCACATCCTGCCCCAACCTATCATAACTATTCACCAACTCTGGAAGCCAACCCAAGAAAGTCTCCTCTTCCACTTCGGGATCACGCAACCTTATCATGAACCTCCCGCCATGACGATCAGTTTTAGTGTACCCTAGCCGCACGACCCTCTCACCGATGTCTATCTCTTTGTACCTCTCCGCAACGCTGTCAACTCTCTTATAAGTAAAGAAAAACTTCCCCATCTCGATAAGCCCGAGCCTCCGCATATCCCTTCAATATCCTCAACTTCCCTCTAATATGCTCCAATACCTTCTTCAATTTCTCCCATCTCAAGGGTCGCGAAGACTCTTCAACAACACCTCTTTGCAAGGAATACTTTCGATACACTTTACGAAAAGCTCGCACCCTGCTACTCTGGCAAGGATCTTCTTCCCCATCTCTCCCGAGCAGACGAAAACAAGCACTCAAGCAATTCACAACCGCATCTACTGTGGACAAAGATACAAGCGTGAGGCCTTCAGCATCGGATGTTCGACACCGACTCTCTACCTCAACAAGCCACTGACTGCTGACGAAGGACAACACATCCAAATCAACACAGGTCATACAATCCCTTCCAACCCCGTTACGCTCCAACCACTCATTTAACGCAAAAAAAAGTTTCTTCATTCTACCTCTTCATCGCCGACCAGCTCCATATTCGCGAATCAAGGCGCTGCTCCACTCAAGACCAGCTTCGTATCCACCTACAAACTCCGGAGTGCTACACTTCTGTCTCAAGCTGCCATCGCTCACTCGTTCGTTCCACCATTCCCTGCAAGACGACGATGTCACTTGCGGGATGATGGGGGGAGTTGGGCGGTCCTAGGAGGTGTGCGGGCCTGCGGCCCATTTCCTTGACTCACTTCTGAGCGATTTGGCATTATCAACGGACTTTCATTTTCCTAAGAGACCTACACAACATTATGCCTGCAACTCCGCACCTGGTTGAACACAAGGTTGACGGGACGGATTCAACAAATCCAACATCCTCGACCCACATCATCAACCACTAACAGTTCACGGTTGGGAATTGGTACCAGAACATCAGCACTTGGGACCTCACGTACAAACCACAGATGTACCTCATCCAAGGTCGACAGGACGCCTCACAATGCAGTTTTCTAAGATCAACAGCGGTCAACTTTCAATCCACTATCTACGGTTCTACTGAGTTGAAAGTGACACTCACCCTGGCTGAAGTATGGCCTCACTGGTCCGTCCGCTCCCACTGCCTTGGCCAGCCACAATAGTTTGCGTGCTCTCCCGAGCTGCGCCTTCCAGGCCCCGACCGCTAGCAGCGTTCATCGCAAACGCAAACCTGCGCGCACGCCACACAAAGGGGTCAGGTCTTTCAGAGGTCGAGTCCTTTTCCTCGCCTTGATTTGGTGAAGCGGTCCCGCCCACCCTCGATTTTCCCGTGGTGTGCGGGCCTGTGGTGCATTTCCTTGACTCACTTCTGAGCGATTTGACATTATCAAAGAACTTTCATTTTCCTATTTTATCTGGAAGAGACCTACACATGGCACTTCCAATTGCAGCACAAACAGCAATGGGGCCATCTATTCTATTTCTGTTGTGGCCAGGCCTTAGGTTTTCTTTTTTCTTCCCCATTTTTCTATACCAGGGTCACAGTCCCACTAGCACCCGGATTAGCCTTAGCTGTATCCGGGGCACATGTGTTTTTCGTATTAAAGAGACTTCAAGAAATAGTTAGAAATAGAAAAAAGAAAAAAGAAAAAAGAAATCAGGTTCCGTTTCTGGGTCTGAGAGGTTTCTTGAAAATGTATCGGGCTGTATTACGGGCCCGGTACACTACAGTGCTGCGCCAGCCTCTGATGCTTAACTTACGGGAGTGGAAGGACAGCGCTTCCCATTCTCACAGGGCAACGGCCAGGTCACATTATTTTCCAATTTCCTTACTTTTTGATTCACTTGTCTGAGTTATTTTTCAGGGAAAGATGACCGCCCTCTACCCAAAAATAGTGTGCTCTAGAGAGAAGATGTCCCTCACATGCATTTTCTTTTCTGTTTTCAATGCATGGCCAATGGGAGGGCGGTCCATTTTCATTTGGAAGACATGGAAAAAGTGAAACAAACCAAACAATTGAAGAAAAAAGCGAAGCTGTAAGATCTACGCAGAATGGGCGGCCCTTACGGATAGGCCTACAATGTTTTACAGAAAACAGGATATAGCTAAGGCTAATCCGGGTGCTAGTGGGACCATGCCCCAGGCCTTCGTCACGGAGGACATGATTGCCAGTGATCATGCCGGGAATTCCATTGATTCTGGTTATCACGGATGCAGTGAACGCCACAAATCTGATCACCCCAAAAAAAAAAAAAAAAAACTGATCACGCACATGGGCTCCAATGACATCCAGATACATGCCTGAAGTGGCGATGCGTTTTTCTCCGACGTTTCCGACTCCTCTCTGGGACGTAAATGCGGTCAGATGCGTGTACCAGACGGCTCAATCTCGGTCCGATGCATCCCACAACAGTTTTCTCCCTCTTCGCTGTTGTTTGAGCCGACCAAAAAGCGCGGGAATTACGAACCAAACCAAACAAAACCAAACCAAGCAAAACCAAACCAAACAAAACCAAACAGCCAACCCACCCAAACAGCCAGCCAACCGACCAACCGACCGACCGACCAAGCACTCTCAGCGGGAACCCGAAGGGCGTCCCCGAACAGTGAACTGACAAACAGTTTCGTTGAATTGTACATGTGGATTTGGTCAAGCAGCGCTCATCATCCATTCAGCTCAGCGCGCCAATAGTACCAACACCCAGCAGCGGACGAAAGCAAACGGTCGGCGAATTGTGTGTTTCCTTTGTTTTTGTTTTGTCCTGTCCTTCCGCTTCGATTCTTCTACCTGACCTCTGGCCTACTGGTAGCCTACCTGCCAAGAGCTTGATGGCGTGCTATAACTAATGGCGCCAAACAAAAGAAAAATCAAACAGAAGAAAAATAAAAAAGCGCGCTAACCCCCGTTACCTCCTCTGCTCTGTCAACGACGCATCATCACAAACGAATAATCGAGGAAGCCATCAGCTGGACTGTGACGCGATCGTTAGGCGAAGTCCGTTGGCTTCGAACCCGTGACGAGCCTGACCTCGACTAATGGGCCTTGCCGTGTCTCTGGTCACCAAATGCGCAAAATGCGCAAAATGAAGAAGGTATCTTCCACTAGAACATGGGAAGATACGCCCGCCATAGCTTTTGTCCTTTTCACATTTGAGAAATGCGTGGTGCGGCTAGGCCTCATGTCGAGGGGTTACCGGTCATCTCCTCAGTGCAAGCAAAACAGCGGGACTCGTCATCATTCAGCTTAATAGAATAGATGGAAAGAGCAGAACGATGGAGAAGAGTACCCCCTGGTCGTTGGGGGGACGCCCTTCTCTGTTTTGAACATGCGGATGAGTCTTGATTATTAATCAGCTGGTCAAAATGAAAAGAATCAATAACAAAATCGATCGAAAGCTGGCTGTTGAAAACTTGAGCGTGGCTTTCCTATTCACATCAGAGAGAGGAACACACACATGGTCTGAAAAAGGAAAAACACCGGCTTCATAAGGCGGGGGGGGGGCGTGGGCGTGGGCGTGGGCGTGGGCGGGGTTTCCGCACGCTACTGTTTGGGGGCCAACATGAATAGGGAATGCCGATGTCCAGCAAAGCGACAAAGAAGAAAGAGCTAAAAACGAGCTGAAAACAACGAAGTTTGTATGCATTCGACAACGCGGCTAAGTGAATGAATCGTGGTCGTTCATGCTGTCTCATCTTGCCGTTTAGCGCGAGCAAACAATGCGTTCATTGTGCCTTCCACTCCACTCCATTCCATTAACAAGTGCTCCGCATCATAGGCGTTCGACAACTGCCACCTCACCTGGGCGAATCACTCCTGTAGGCCTTGTTTCTTTTCTCTCTCCCACCTCCCTCCCTCCCTCCCTCCCTTCATGCCCACCCAACCCAAGCGCGGGAACTGCCCCTGAATTTTAGGCCTTTGGATTGGGGAGCTCAGGAGGGACGTATGTGAGATCGATCTAGGGAACGAACCTCACCGCAGTCAAAGGAAATGGAAAGCAGAGTGAGAAATGAGAGAAAGAGACATTGTCGAGGGCGGAAAGTAGTAGAAACGGGGACACGGGAGTATAGAAAGTGAGCCTGACGGGGGCAGAGCCAGGGAAGAGGAGACAGGAGAGAGAAGAAAGAGAGAGGAGGGAAGGAGATAATTTGGCGAGGGCGCCAAGCCGATATTTCCGTCCGTCCGTCCCGCCATCGGCGCCATCGGCGATTGCGGGAGGACTCTTGATGATTCGTAGAGGCAGCGGGAAATCTGTGCCACGGTGTGGCATTTTTGTCTTTTCTGCTTCTCCCCTCCCCTTTGGCGCGTGTCGACCATATTGGACAGAGGAACGCGCGCGGGAATTCAGCGTCGGTGTTGGCATCACCAGTTCCAATTCCAATTGTTCGTACGAGCGGGCAAGGAGGAGGAGGAGGAGGAGGAGGAGAGAGCGGAGGGGGTCTCGATTCTCTTTAGTATCTCTCCCCATCGCATTGTAGCTTGGCGTAGCCGGTGTCTGTAGAAGTGTGCTCAGAGAGCAAAGCGGCAATGGCGCAAGGTGGAGCTGTAGCCATGATGGAGGCGTTTTGCCCCGCGGGGGGGCTGGCAGGAGTGGCGGGGCTCGGTGGCAGTGCGCTCGTGACTCGTCCTCGAGGAGGAGGAGGAGGAGTAGGAGGTATGGCGGCTGCGCGCGCGTGCTATCCGCTGACGTCTTCGGTGTCGCGATGCCGACTCTCGCCCCGTCGAACGACGTCGTCGTCGTCATCTCCATTGCCCGCCTCCGCTTCTGTGGCGGCTCTTACCCCCTCCTCCCCCTCCGCATCCCGCAAGGCGGCTTCCGCCTCACATGAATGGTTGTTGTTCGGATGCGCGGGGGAGCGCAATGCGGGTAGCGCTTTCCGGCGATTCGCATTGTCGCCGCTCTCGCATCGAGTGCACGGCCGGAAGTATGGCGGGATTGCGCTCGGAGGTGGGGGATTAGTCCGCGCTAGCATTGCGGATGCCACGTCGGCGCCGACGCCGGGCGCGGGAGAGCCAACCAAACCCACCCCGGCAACCAGCGCTGCCCCCGTGGTCGCGACGCCGACAACAGCGCCACCTCCGCCGTGGCAGGGCGCATCGATGAAGCCGCTAATTGCGTCCATCTTGACGGGAGTGATAGTGTGGATGATCCCCGCGCCTGCGGGTGTGGCGCGCAATGCCTGGCAATTATTGGCCATTTTCCTGGCCACCATCGTCGGCATTATCACGCAGCCGCTGCCCCTCGGTGCCGTTGCGCTGATGGGACTCGGAGCCTCGGTATTGACGAGAACGCTCTCTTTCGCCGCCGCTTTCAGCGCTTTCGGTGATCCGATCCCATGGCTCATTGCGCTTGCCTTCTTCTTTGCCCGTGGATTTATCAAAACAGGACTAGGGAATAGAGTGGCCTATAAGTTCGTCTCGATGTTCGGGAAGACGACGCTCGGGTTGAGTTACAGTCTCGTATTTTCAGAAGCATTCCTGGCACCCGCCATACCCTCAGTGTCAGCGAGAGCGGGCGGCATTTTCCTGCCGCTGGTGAAAGCGCTGTGTTTGGCAAGCGGAAGTAGAGTAGGAGATGGGACGGAGAGAAAATTGGGGGCATATCTGATGCTTACATGCTTCCAGACATCGGTTATCTCGTCGGCTATGTTCTTAACTGGAATGGCCGCTAATCCGCTGTCAGTGAATCTCGCTGCGGGTGCGATAGGCCACGCGATCAGCTGGACGGAGTGGGCAATGGCGGGGCTGGTGCCTGGTCTCATCGGGTTGTTGGTAATCCCCTCGTTTCTGTATGTTATCTATCCGCCTGAGATCAAGGCTTCCCCAGATGCACCCAGATTGGCGCAGGAGAATTTGAAGAAAATGGGCCCCATGACCCGCGAGGAGAAGATTATGGCCGCCACGCTAGTCTGCACGGTTAGTAATCATCATTCTTTCTACCTGCGCTCCCTCTCCTCCTTCACCTTTCTCTTTCCTCCGAAATTTTTATTGTGTCTGTCTGCCTTTTTCTGCGATTTGTGTTTCGTCTCCCCCGATTTAGCAGTACACTTACTACTTTTGTTTTCCTATTTTTTTCATTAAATTTAACAGCCTGTTCCCACAGCTCCAGTTCTTCTTCGCTTACAAGGATAGGAGTCAAGGTCCCTTCTTGTCTTTGCCTGCAATTCCTTCTTGGTACTTTTTCCTCCCCTTTGTCAATTTGCCTCTTCCTCCGTCTCATGGGGATTCCCGTAAGGCTTTTAATTGCCCACGTCCTCCCTGAGTCTCTTGTGGGTTTAATGTTCTTCTTCTTGAGTCTTTTCTCTTTTGTGCATTTTGATTCGAAATTCTGTGTTCTTCTCTGAGCTTGTGGGCAGTACTTTCTCTATTGTCTTTTGCTCCCTTCTTTCCCGTCTTTTGCTCTCCCGCTGTAGTTTACTTTCCGGTATCTCTCCCGCTGTAGTTTACTTTCCGGTGTCATGAATGAACGATACCCCTCGCGTCTGTAGCCTGATACTTGTGTCAATGCTGTCCCACTGTCCCACTGCACGTTTCCCCCTCCCCCTGATACGATATATACGATATCACCTCTGGTGGGAGGACGAGTTGTGGGGGTCATGTTAATCTCAGTCGATTCGTAAGGAACCTCATGATCCAAACATCCGTTAGTGCCATTGATGGACTACGGAGAATTGGCATATTGACCAATGATTCCAAAACAAAAATTGAAAAACATTGACCATTGACGTGGACAGATCTGAGATGCACGGGCTCAGATACGTACGGAAGGCGGAATGACGCTTGCGTGCGTAACT